GTTTGAGTTGTCATGAATTGGCTCCGAAATTTCTGATACAATTTCAGTGCAATTTTACCTGAAGATAAAAGATCACAGTGGCTTAATCGACTGCCCCTAATCCAGACATAAAGGTCTTGCCAAGTTTCTGGCCAAATTACGATTAAAGTCAGCAAAACACTTGTCGAAGTATTGGTATTCATACGCTCAACACCCCGGGCCTAAAACTGACTTTGATGCATGGTTTCATTAGAATACAAAAACTTTCTCGACAAGTTCATGTCAAATTCTGCACCTGTTCATTTATATAAACCCCATACTTGTTTTCTTTTATGTCTGTAGCGCACATTTTGGCAACAGTCACTATCCCCTCTTTTGAAATGGTAAAGAAAGTAGGATCCTTACTAGCCACAAGTGCAAATCACAATTTTGCATTAAAAAAGTTACTCAGTGAAGAATAATATCTGGGGAAAGGATCTAGCATGAGTGATTGAACTGCTGTTAAGATCTGCCCTGAGGAAAGTTTAGTGACTTTTAAATAGATTAGGTCAACCAAAGCCCCCCTCTAAAGTACGGTAAATCCCTTTTGACTGTTAATAAAGTATTTGAAGAGCTTTAACACCATGTTTGGGAGGGTAAATTGATCAATTTGAAATGGCGGATCGCTGGAGGCTTAGTATCTTAAAAGCAACCCAAAGGTCGGATTCTCTTTTGAAATTCTGGCACTCACATCAACAAATGTTTCTCCCTTTTCAAGAGATTTCAACTCAGAAATCCATTGTTTACTTTCTGAAAGGAAGATTGGTGTCGGCGTTGAATGCAAAGGAGAAAAATTAAAGTGCAAATTTGTATGTCGATACAAGCAGGCGGTGATGTTTTCTGCTTTTGTGGTAAATCGATCTTTCTTTTCCGTAAGTGCTTAAATAAAATAAAGCTGGGAACGTTTTCAAATAATTCAACATGATTTCCATTGAGCCCCACATGTTCTTTGACGTATTGAAATTCTCGCTTTTTAAACGTGATAAGGGTAACAATTGAAGACACAGTTTAAATTCCAATCCGGCATTGTCATTTCCCAATGAAAACCGCTGTAGATAACTTCTAAGATAACTTCTAAGATCGCTAATCTAGCCTTTACAATGTTACATCCTTCTTCTGATGTAATTTGATTGTGAGACATGCTATCGTGTCTCAATATTGCCGGGCTTTCTAAAGCGAGTTCGCGTGATTACACGACAAAAACCTCCAACGCATTAACGGGACCTACAAAAACGCAACAATTTTGCGCCAAAATGGAGTTTATTATAAGCCACAAGTATGCACCATTGTTTGATGTCGCCCCCACTGATAAAGACTCAAGCCCTCGTCTACTCCATGTTGTTCTTGTTGTTGTTGTAATGGGATTTATCAGGTCACTTAATTCTGTGTCTATGCACATTATTCTCAGTCGAAATTCGAGGAAGAAAGTAAAATGATTTCTACTCTTTGCCGATGCTCTTGACTACTGCACGGGTACCTGGGGCACATACGCGCGTGCTCATGTGGATGAATAAATTTGACTCCGGTGTACATAAAGCGTTACAGAAACAATGTCCATGTTTAGCAAAGTCGCCAGTATTTCGGTATTTCCTGTATAAATATAATCAAGAATAATTTACATTCTGCGCTAGAACTCTGCCACACATTTCTTCCTACACACCAAGGGTTTGGCATCTAAATCACCCATATGTTATGGGTATTTTGAACGGCAGGTTGAGACCTTTGGCCGATGCATTAAATCTTTTCCCAATAGTGTTTATTTCTCTGGTTTTCAAGCATGCACGTCCCTTTAGCCTACTTCTTATAACTGGGAAGGGCCACGCATCTAATGATATATCACTTGGTTTGAAGACTTTATTAACTTTTGGGAGCTTTGTGAGACCAACCAATGAAACCATTTTGGACTCACGGTTGGAAGAACATCGGTTGATCCTTGTTAAAACGCTGCGCCCTACGTTGAGCGAAATATGGTGATTTTCAGCAAAAAATATACAGATTTTCAAAACCGAAAAAATAAACATCTAGGCACGTGTTTACGCTGCATGGTCTTATTAAACTTTATATGGCATTCTCAGGATGGAATAGACGTTTTATTGGAAAAAAAACTGACTATGGATAGATCTTGATTTTTCAATTTATTAACCTTTTGGCCTCAGTTTTTCCTTCATTTCCCATTTCCCTTGAAACTTTTCATTTCAAAACATGTTCCAAAAATAAAATCACAAAAATCAAAACTGGAGAGTGCAAAACCAAAAGAAAACAGACTAGTACAAAAGCAGAAGTAAAAACAAAACAAACAGTTCTGGAACTTTTCAATCAAATTTTATTACGAAAGTTAAGCCCATTTGAGAAACCAGGCGGGGATCCGAAGATAGGGTCAACTCCTCCCCTTCCTCTCAATGCCTTTTAAAAAATTTTACCCTGACCCCATAGGGTTTATGTAAAATCATATAGAAATCGGAGGTTTGAGAAAGGGTTCATGGTCTTGAAGGTTGGAAGGCCCCTAATAATATAACTATAGGGGTGGGCCTATTATTTTGCGTGTAGAGTTAGGGGCAAAATAATTATGGAGATTAAAATGGCTTCACGAATGGCGACAACAAACCCAGCCTCTTGCACGAACAAACATTTCCCTACCCTCAGCCAAATATCCTGGATCCGCCCCCCCCAAAAAAAACCCGCAGTAATAATACGTCACCCATCTCTTTCACAATCCTCCGTTTGGTTGTTCATGTAGTTGACTATCTCTATCGTCTGCGCTACACATGTTTATTAATCAGAGCATGATAGTCATGTGACAACTCGAAGAGTAAAATAGTGACGATTTTCCCTACTTCAACAAGACACTCCATGGGTGGCGAAGTGGACAAGGATATCTCTATCATCGTCCCGATCTTGAAAGCTTCTCCATCTACCGACAAATGATGCAAATTGCCTCATGTAGACTGCGCGTCATGAGGTGTGAAGAGCCCCATTTCCTCATCTCATATACAGGGTTGTCAAACTGCTAACAAACGGGACTCGAATAAACCCAAGTTGAAGCCGGGTTCAACCGCGTAGACGGCAGCGCAGGCCGCACGCGGCCAGCACAGCCAGACAAGCCATGACAGTCAATATCCACGAGTGTATCGAATAAGACCAGAAACGTCTTGGGGGTAAAGACCGATAAAGAGACACCAGAGACCTAAGAAGTTAGAGTCTCAGAATACACGCCGGCAGGCCAATCTTCTTGATGGAAATTTATGATGAGGTCTTAATGCAGTGAGACTCTTCATGGAAAAGACGCGGCTACTGGCTGTGTTTCTCCGTCTCGTCTTTGCCCACCAGCGGGTTTCGCCATCCACTCATCCTTCACCACTCTTCATCAAAATTTTTCCAGAAATTGGTTTGTAATAAACAGCGATGAATTTGCCTATTATGGCTCATCACGGGCCGGTTCTCCCAGGCTATCAGTGGCATTTAGTGGCTTGTTACTCGCACCCATTATCTGTCTTCCCTCCCATATCCCTTGAGGATAATCGAGACGCGTATGTATGGACACGAACCCAACTTGCCTGTCCCGTTTGGCCTAGCTGCTTCCAAGATGCCATTTCGGCTACACAGCTTTGTTTATTGTCCCTGATATTGGCAATATTAAACCCTGGGAGAATCGCCCCCTTCTCTATTATCATTATTATCTGTGATGGAGATCAGGAGTCGGCAATCAATTTATTAAATCTTCGTTTCTGTGAGACGGGAACATGGCAGGTTGGAGACGAGGTCTCTTTGGTTTCTATTACGATAATGGAGAGGGAAATACGAAGCTTATAAGTGGTTTATGTTTGGATGATGTTATGGTTGAAGCGACCAACCACTACAAAAAACTCTCATTAAAAGTTATAATGCTGAGATGTTTTATAAACAAAGGCCCTTAAAATCTGTAGGTGCATCTACCAAAAACCAATTTGGGGGAAGAGACTGAAATATAATCTTGAATGTATCCTGCAGCGCAGGAGTAGAATGTACTTTAGACACCACTATGCCCAACTTTACGAAGTTGCAATGCATGGAGTTTTAGATTAGTGTTTAACCCTGGACTGTCGGCCTGGAGTTATCAATCTGAAGGTCTCGTTTTCGCTTTTATTTCTTTTTTTTTCGAAAAGAGAAGACGTCATTGAAAATATGATTTAGCTTTATTTGTGGTAACAATTAATCTATGGCATATTTTTTTGGGAAAGAGTGCCACATACGGACAACACTTGATGCACCTGTGCACAGGCCTGTGAGACTTGTCTCTTAGTGTTTTCTACGTAAATGCTTCAGCATGTTCTCAGCTAAATTTCACTTTGTAGGACATGTTATCACTTTCTAATGATATTTTAAAGGAAAGTTAATGTTGTGCGTATATGGAACCCTTTCCTTGTATTATAAATTAAAGTCTTTTTGCTGTGCCACCGTGTTTTTGACCAGTGTTATGTCTCGTCGTTTTGAGTGACTGTGATTTCGTTATCGATTAAAGAATGACCTATAAACACGGTCGTTATATAGAAGAGACGTGATGTAAACACTTTACCATGCGATTGCCCTCAGAACAAAATATGGCTAACCTTTGAACTCAAAATGTCAACCCCGTTTTCAATGTCATGGCATCTTTACTGTGACGATTCAGAACAAGACTGACCAGCCGCATTGTATATAGGATTGGGCAAAGAATCTTGGGAAATGGTGTTAAGGATTAAAGGACAAGGGACCAAATTTCAAACGCCAGACATGAACAAAATAACTATAGCAGTATTTTGTGGTTATGTGTGCTTTACAGAAGTTCACCGTTCGATTTATGTCACGAAACAATACCGTGTGCACATATCACCATTTTTGACCGTCTGGTGTCCGATTTCCACAAAGTTGCCATTACCTGTCAACTTTACTGCGCCGGTAGGCACTGATACATAATGACATTTATGATGCAAAGACATGCCATATAGGGAAGAATTACGACTTACCAGGACAACTAGGGTGTGCATAGAAGTGTCAGTGTGCAGAACCTCTGCAATAGACAGCTCCGTCTGGCTTGCACAAGTGTTCCCTTTTCCCACCAGGTCCATTCTTGATGTCTACCTTCCTATGGTCCTACCTCCACCATTAATCGTCCATCGTTTGCCATCTCTAGGTTTAAGGGAAGGCTGGTTTTGAACCGAGCCCCAATTCAAATTCAGATCTTTTTAACGCTCCTGTCTTGTACAATGTCCTACATTGCTGTTAACAGTTGAGAGGTGTTGAGACACACACGTTCTCCACCCGTAGGTCGTGTTCGACGGTGCGTGGCTTGGCCAGCATCTAGGGGTTCTGAAACCAAACAGCTTGGAATGGGGGAACAATGGCATTTGTGATTAAAATTCCACCCATTCAGAACAAACTAAGGTAAACAGTGTTCTCCCAAGAAGCAGTGTTTACGAGCAGAAGCGGCTTGAGATTGTTCTACAATTTCGAGGAACTTTCACACCAGGCATGCTTCAGGTTTCCATTCTTTCAGACTGGAATTCGCTTAAAACATTCATGGGTCGAAATCTCTGTAAACTGAACGTTGGTAACTAACAAGACGGACTACGACTTTACACTTGGCAATAGGTTCCCTCAAAATGATCTGAACTAAGTATTACTCGGTCATCTGAAACAGACATAGCTCACAAGTGATTCAAAATGAAAACTTGTTTACAGATACATCTTCCGATAATCGGTTTACATTTCAAATCTTGACATGTTTAAGTATTTGTTGAACAGTCTGCATGTTTTTTGATGCGTGTGTTCCACCTGGGTGCGGCATTATTATGTGCTATGAGGGGAACATGCTCCAAGAAATAAGACGAGGCTAGGTTAGTGACATTCATGAAGACATCATACCAGTTGACAGATCTTTGTTCTCCCCCACAAAGAAATTTAATGCATGGAGGGAAAAGTGCAGCACTTGCACAAAGCAAAGCTGTAAATGGGAAGCTTGAAGTAATGAATATATAAAAGCCTGCGCTTTCTTTTTTTTCCCAAAGTGATATAGATTCTGTGATATGGTGCTCTGCTGTGACATCGCCTTCCTACATTCCAAAACCTTTCCCCGAAATGAATGTCAAAAAGCTAATAATGACAAGAAGAAGAAATAGCAAAAGCAACTTTAAAGTAATGACACCAACAGAAGGTTTCCATTAGAGAAATATAAAACATATTTTTGCTCTTTGAAGTTGCCTTTTTGTTGCGCATTCACCTCGAAACTCAAAAGGTTGTCCTAATGGGGGTGACCCAAAAAGAGTTACACCTCCTAACAAGAGATTAACCTTCAGCAGAACATGACGTCAACAAGACAGGAGAAAACTTGATAAGGCACTGATGTCTGTTGTAAAGAGTCCACCAACAGGCTCTTTCAAAATTAAGTGAAAATTACTGGAGCAAGACGAATAGAGTTCCATTCATTCCATTCGTGGTGCAGCTACCATAGAATTGTCTAGTCGAAAAGTGCCCAAACAACTTGACTCTCACTTTTCTAAAATAATCCCAGCTGGAAAGTGCAATGCAATTGTGTGTTTTCTGGGAGGTAATCTGTTACTTCTATTCACATCTCATGAGTTGTGGTATTCATTAAGGACTTTTCTGAAACCCCCTCAAATTTGATATAAAAGGTGTAATCAGGTTTGGTCATTATCGGCCTTTAATTGCTTTCTAACTTCAACTTTGCTTGTAACACTGAAGGCTTCTGATATTTGAGCTGTGCTTGACAGAAAAATGTTCAATTGATTATTGAATGTATCACTCGAGTAAATTCTGAGATGCTAAATGAAAAATTGCCGCTGCGTGTTATGGGTTACAACACCAACGTCAAAGAGAATCACGACGTGTCGTTCGAACAGAACCAAAAAAATGCAGTTACATCAATTCAAAGCATTAACCATACCATAATTATGCAAGAAAATAGGCTCATTTGGGGTTTATCACCTAAACCAGCTGGGGATACTCAGCCATATGCTGGCATAATCTTTCGTTTGGGTTCTCCCTTATCTGTCAATGTTCAACACATTAGACATAATATCGCAACACCCAAGATCATTGGAAACAATTATTTGATAATAATATTTCTAAGCTTACGAAATTACTTCAAACGCCAAAGCACACATTTTTATTTTTAGGCAACTCTCTGGATTTATATTTATTTTTTTCCTCACCGAAATCGATACCTTCGGTTTCAAAAATCAAGCGATGTCCCATTGTGCCAAAAAATACCAACCAACATAACACCGCCGAGGAAATATTTTGACAAATATTATATTACTGTTGTTTCTGGCTCTAAAAATCTTCAGACTCAAAGATATCCAGCTAAAACGACTTACGTTGTCACTGGTGCGATGTGATTTGATACAAGATAAAAATGCACTCGTTTTGCTTAAATGAACAGAAAAACCAAACGATGCATCTCTGTGAACTTAAAATCGCAAAGCAGAAGGACATGGCCACAGTTTTATCACTATAAGCTCATAATTCACGTACTGAAATATGGATCAGTATGAAGGAACTTTCACCTGACACTATTTTTTAGGAGTATAGTATATTCACTTGCTGCATGAAAACTCAATATTTCTTGGTTATTGGTAATCATTCAAGAGCCAAAGTCATCGCAAACATTTCTCAAATCAATGAAAATTCTATGTGAACAGAGACCCAAGGATTGGCCTTTTAATCAGCCAATAGAAGGCTTAATTAATATTCATACGGTTATTACCGATGTAATTAGAATACTAATCTACATAATACTTCTATCATTACGGATTTCACATTCAGCACCATTTTCGTCCGGATTGAATCCTTTGTAAACCAAATATACGTTTTGTTTGAATTTCAAAGCCTCTTATGGTAGTATACAATAAAAAAGGGGAAATGGGAAAGTACTCGAAAAAAGTACTAAATACTTCACAAAAGTTGAAATAAGTAACACAGGACTAAAATATACTCGATATAAACAGTTGGGACTTTTTGGCTAATGACTAAAGTTACTTGAACAATTGCAAACAGTGCAAAGGTGCAAGGATGTTCACCTTAGAGAGTAAGGAATGTATCACTGACTGTCAGAGCGGATCATACAAGTAAGATGCATGACAGACAATCAGCTCGTTGAAAAGAATGGTGAGTTTTGTTCTCAGGGTCACAGAAATCACAGAAATTGGCACGCGAAGTCAACATCAATAAATAAATAACTACAACTTTGTATGATTTTCTAACCACAGTACTTAAACTCAGCAGATACTGCGTGGGGAAAATGTGATGGAAATGCAAGTGTATTTAACAGAGATGGAATTTATCAATAAACCTAAGAAAAACGTTTTGGTTTTACTTTATATCTGACTTTTGTTCATAAACCTTTGTACATATCTACTGAATATGCTATTTGAAGCCACATTACACGTGGGCAAAATAATGGTACCAAGTTACTTCAAATACCTCCCGAAATTATGACTCTGAGAGAAAAAAGTTGGGGAAGTCTTTTCTTTACACAAGTTCCGGAAAGATTATTTTCTCGCGACTCTTCTCTTTTGATCATAATTAAGTGTAAGAAAAATGTTGCATTATCTACCAGCAAGAACAAAAGAATCTCCTTTCAGAGTCTGTCGTTAAATAAAGGGAGTATTTTGAGCTATCAATGTTATCCAGTCCACCACCACCTCCAGCAATGACTTGAAGTGTTTCACAAAGTAGGCAAAGTATAGAGAAAAGCTTCAACTGCAGTTCGTGTGGAGTATGAAGCAGACGATGGGATTGAAATGGTAATGATTCTGTCATTTTTCATTCAGATCTTCAAATCATTAATGAATTCGGCGGTGAAGACGTCACGGGATGCCCGCGAGGCAGAGCGATTGTCATCTCCGAGTGTGAAGTCACGGAACGCTCTTTAGTGCGGTCCACTGCACGTGGCAAGCGGGGTAGCACCGCTAGACTCGCCCGCCAAATGAATGAGTCATTGCTGGGAGAAATAGGAACTTGAGTTATTATCATAATGGAGTCGTTCTTGAAACCCTGGCCGAGGACCCCACGATTGGATGAAGTTACTGCCATTAGTTGCCCACAGGAAAAACGTTTTCTCTCGCTTGTAGCTTTGAGACCACACTTTCATCTTCAACTCATGTTTTTCTTTCCAAGTTTAAGCAAATTCCCGCAGAATTGTTCCCACTCATGACAGTTGATCGATCCTTCTATGGGTGAGTCCATTCACCAATCACATCGCAGGATAGGTGATTATAAAGCAAGTGCTGTACATCGGGCCCTCTAAACAGTCAGTTTGTTTGGTGCAAAGAAATCTCAATGTTCTCAAACGCGCAAACGACTCAAGGTTTTTGCGCCACAAGCAGTCAATTTCTAGACATTTGATAGCACAGACTATCATAAAGAGTTTTGCTGCGTCTCCATACGCCATCTATTGACATGATGGGATCCCTTCTTCTTAGCGTCTTGCTCCCCTTCCTCCTCACTCTTAACTCGCTTGTATTTCGTCCTTCGGTTTTGGAACCAGACTTTGACCTAGAAAAATATTGGGCAAAAAGGAAAGGGTGAAAATGGAGTCAGTGCAAATTCTTGTGTATGAATTGAGGGCTTAGATTACAAACAACAAGGTAACTTCTTGACCTTTTTAGCTGGAGCGCAGAAAGTTACTTTTTGACACAGTGATTAAGAGGAACAGGTTTTGATCTCCCAACACAACAAAACGAAAATAATTTTAAAGTCGACAGAAGTCGAGACTATTTTTTGCGACAACAATGACAGCTAGGTGGTTTGTTGCAGACACCAATTTCGTGAAAATGGTTCGTAATAGGATCGAATTGGAGTGAATAATTGCCTGGGAAATGTACCCGGTCTCTCTCTTACCCAAACCTAAAGCCGCTTTCATCGCATCCAGTGAGTTTTAATTCAAACTTCCCTTGTAAAAAGCATCGCAATTAAAGTCATTTTTAAAACGACAATAGATTTGGATCTGATGGTGAAGTAGAAGTGGAATTAGTCGCAAATTGCGTCGAGGCTTAGTCCCGCCTGGGGCGGTATTCCCCCCCCCCACAAGCGATACAGCCCAGTGCGCGCCAAACACCGCTCATCTCATCGCCACTCTTGAGAGCTAGGCACGCGGAGTGAATTATTAGAAGGTTCGGTCATCCATCACGGATAGTTTAGCGCGCTCGGCTCAGTTACTGGTACGGGTGCTAGAGCGATTTAGCCCCGTGCAGGCAGCGACGTGAGAGCCGCTACGCTACTGAACAACCCCATCCACACCGGAAGCTGCCACTTCCTACCGAAATTTAAAAGCACTTCACTTGATCGTTGCCCGTGGATATGGCTTCCCGGATGGACTTAGGAAAGATGTGCGAAATGTGGAGCATTTTTAGCACTAGGGGAAAAATGTTCAATGACAAATATTGGTAACAGTGCTCAACAACTCACGGTCGCCTACAGCCCAGACAAGGGAAGACAAAAATGAAAGAACAAGTCCAGATATTTTGTGATAGTCCCGGCTCACGGAAGACAAAATCTTTGAAGTGCCGACTGCCTTGAGATAAGTCTTTGGCTGTAAAACGATGAATAGGGTTCAAAATAAGAACTTGGGCATGACCTATAATGGATTGATGTTGTTAGAACCCATAGAACAACGTGTGGGTGAAGGTAGGCCTATGCACCTGCACATCATGCCTCCAACTAATGGAAGGTTGCAGTCACGATGTTTTCATTAGAATTAGACTGGATAATTAAACTTTGAAGATATGAATGCGTCAATAAATGTCACAGAAAATTACCTTTGAAGGAAAATAAAATTTCAAATCTAAATTAACGACTTTAGGGCCTAGCTTGGATGCTTTTCCCATGTCTGTGACAATAACCGAGTCATTTTTTTCCTTTTCAATTCACCAGATCCAATCCATGTCAATTGCGTTTTAAGGACACACACACAACACGACATTTTCACATGAATTTGGCACTAAAAAATCAATACAATAATGAGCGATGCTTTTCAGTGGGAGATGGCCAATGTTGCTGTGCGAAGCAAGTTCTTACTGTCACGTGTCAGCTGTGAACTGAAAGCCACATTGAGCAATGCACCGGTAAAACCCGAGGAAACAATCACACAGGCTGTGATTGAATGTAACGTGCCATGAATGGAAAAAGAGAGAAGCAAATAAACTGGCCTTGGAAATGCGTCGAGAATTGCGCCACAATTTGTTTCCCAAATTTGTTCCCGCGCTTTTTCATCGTTCTTTAACTCAGTGCAGCTGAGCAACCGCAAGTACCCCGTTCAGCCACGTAGCATACACAGATTCTCTGCTAGGCAATAGCCAGTATTGTTATTTGAAATAATGAAACAGTCGTTAATGAACGCTCAAACACGATTTCTCATCTTGTTTATACTATAGGCCTACCATTTGACGTCAATTTCTTTAATCGGCAAACGTAATGAACAAGATTAAGACATAGTTCTATAACAGCTTTTTGATACAAATTAAAATTCTTTTGTAAGAGCATGACTATAAAAAAAGATTTACAAAACAATTATTGTGGGCAAATGTATGGACTTACTGGCAACAGAGCTTGTACGATCGCTGACTAACTTCCGCTATTACATTTTAGTTATTTCACCTTTAGCCACTGAGTCTATAAGCGACATTGTACATTGTAATACCGAGGGAATTTTCCAAAAAGCTCAGTTTCACCACTGAAATTGTCTGGTGTTATTCTCTGTTAACATTAATTTGACATCCACTGAGTTTCTTTCATTTAATATGTAGGCCAATCGCATAAATTTCCTTTTAGAAAAAGTGAAAGTCAAGCCCTTCTGGTGTTTATTCAGAAACGTTCCCACTAATCACTTCTCTGCAAAAAATAAAAACAATATATAAAAATGTGGCTGTTTGGTCACACCGACAGAAGTTTTAACGCGTTTTTGGATGGAAGATAAGACTAACAATTGTCAGAGTATAAAGAGATGAATGTAGAATTCAATCTTAGAATGACTTCTAAAAAAAACTGACGGCAAACCGATCGTAGGTGAAGATAAATGACGTAAAATCAACCACAATAACGGAGCCAAACATTTTAGACTATGATCCCCGCGCCAAAATGTTGTTGCACGCGGCTAGACCGGTCATTTCCAACCGATTTACCTCGAGAGCGGTACCACATCACCTGCCTAAGGGGACACTGTTTGCCTTTTGTTCCGGGGTGTGACTCAAGGGTCGTTTGGTTGGGTTCACATCCTTCCAAGGTCAGAGAAGGAGGGTTCAGTTGAACCGTCTTTAAAGGAAAGACCTTGCCGATAACGCCTGTTGGACACCTATTTTGTAGTGTTGTTATTCACTGTCCACAAATTACAACAAAAATAGTGTCGCATCATGACCTTTTCGATATACTAAAGTTACACCATGTCTTTTAAAACTCCTGCTAAATACGCTGAATGAACGAGTTATTCGTCAAACAAACTTCCGGACAGATAATGAGCACAATGAAGAATTCTTCTTACTTTCTACTCCGGTCCGCATCCACTAGAAATTACTACTCGCTGAATCTCTCATGCTCATGGTTAATTAACTGTCGGTAAATTACCTTATAAGGGTGTAGAAACACACCAACACCGTTTTTATCAATTATGTCTGGGAATATGCAGATATCTTTCAGCAAATAGCCGACATCAATTTGTGACACTTTACGTTAAATACTTGTCATGATCGTTATCTGACATCCTGTCAAATTATGATGCATTATGATCATCAGGTTATCGCCTTGCTTGACTGCATACAACATGAATAAATGATAAAAATGTCTCGAATGACAGAAAGACCTCATCCATAATAGTGACAGAAGGACAAGATAAATGGGAAATGGAGAGAGTAACTATTTAAGGCATAGCTCCGGAAACAGCAAAAAGGTGATCGGACAAAACAAAGTGTAAGCTTAAAAATGATATGAAGACAAATTTGACTTTCAAATGGATCTGAGTGCACTTCTTTTTCCACCCTCCTTTAGCTGTCTAGACCCTGCCCCTATGGTTCTTCCCTCAAATTCCGCGCACTTTCATCAATAGCGCCCTCGTTCAGCGCAAGATGGTTGAGGGACTAAATGGGTCAGGCGCAATGATACCCCCAGCATGGTGCTTGTTGAATTCTGGCGTAAATCACGGCGTAAATGAAATGTTTACAAGACCTTGTGAACCAAACGTTTTAGCACCTCGCTTCAAACTACGAAGTAGTCATACTTTCTTGCCCCGTCACTGAATTTATTGAAAAGTATGATTTCTTTCAGGAGGGGTGAAAGACAATAATGTACAAAACTGCATAAAAGTATATATGACTTGTACAGTGTGTCAACATTTTCTTTTAGCTTATTTTTTTCACCGATAAAATATATCCAGGGTTATTCCGTCGAGTCTACAATTATTTCAATGAGAGCTTGGCTTAATTAGTAGATCATAATAACTTTTGAGAAACTTTCACCTGAGGAAATAAATTGAATGTCGATGAAGCCATTTTGGGGTCATAAAGAGATGAACATGAACGATGAGAGGTTTTATCTTACAATCACGGCACCAAGAATGTAAACATAGATTGGAGGCCAAAAAAACGAACGATGCACAAAACTTGGGTTGATTTGTGCAGTGTGTACTATGAAGTACGTGAGTTTGTCATTATCCCACTCACATTATGCCAGACTCAACCCAGCACATAAAACCACACTTTGCATGTTGTTTCTGCGCTTACGACGCTGCACACAAAACCGGGAGATGACAAGTTCCACGTTGGGGGCGTGGCTGACCAACTCCCCCTCCCCATCTCAGGTTAAGGGACCAATGGCAAATAATGAAGAAATAAACATTCCTACATATAATCACAACAAAGACCGTTTGAATCAAAGGATATTGTAAATAGTTCCTCTATTGTTGATATGAAACTAACTTTCCAACGATAGATATGACTCCAAGATTCTTTCTTTAATGAATATTTAGTTTCTTTTCTTATTCCCCCTTCTAAACTCAAGTTCCCTCATCTTTCTTCTCCCGATGACTCAGCTCAAGACATTCTTTTCCTAATTTTGAAATTTCCCTTCCGCATCCACTAGTTTTGTTTAATTGTCATGCGTGCGTAATTACTGATTTATTTCAAACGAAAGTACAGTTGTTTATAAAAGCCATTATGTGTCCATGCACTATGCCACAAAAGTGTGACTGAGTTGTCGTTTAGTGAGTGTGACTGAGTTGAAAGTTTACACAACAATAAGCTTAATTGTACCGTGATATGTCCTTAAATATACAGATGTGTCATCACGGTTTCAATTTCTCAAGATATGCATCTTGCATACTGCAACAGAATCACGAAGTCCGAAATCGTAGTGATATTTAAAAAAAAACAACAGCAACATTCAAACCACAAAATTGTCAGTGTAAATGCAAGGCTTTTGTCCACACTATCCCGGCTAAGTCACTCGGGGGCGCTTTAAATGTAAACAAGGGTGACATCATCAAACGCACTTGGTCGTGTGCGGCTGCGTGCGGCATTTTTGTGACATGGTAGGCGATTGATGAAATTCTAATGTTGCAGAAATTGATCGGAATTTCGAATGATCATTATAAGGAAGCCTAATTAATGTACAACGTTTGAATACGTCGCTAGAATAAGTGATATGACCGATTGAATTATTCCTGTCATTTCATTATGCGTGTGGTGTCCACTTCATCACATAGACACGAGGTGTGACCTGATCATTGACCATCCATCCTCACCCGACAACTTAAATAACGAGGCAAGAATACATATCGAATTCATCTATTTGGTCATTCAATATTCGTGAGCAATTTTCTGGAGCTTGAAAGAAACTGGTGAAACTCAAATTATATACGAATATTCGAAGGTTATGCAAAGTGTTAGATTTAAGAGAGAACATCGAGCGATGTTTATCGAGAGAGAAAACCTAACTCTATTGTTGTGACTAACTTCAAATAATGTAAAATGTAACTATAGTGAGCGGGAGATACAATCCACCTTTTGCTATTTGGCGTGTTCACTAAGTCAAATGGTATTTTTTCCAAAGTAAACATTGGTGGTCTTAATTTAAGCAAACATTTCCTTTAATGGTACCACCATTTAGCTTGTATTTGTTTTCATTATCACTTCCTTTGGTCACGAGGCCTGGCTTCATGTGTGCGGTAGCAAGGGGAAAGTAAATCGAAAGTGTGGGTATCCAGCTCAGAGTGTTCCTGTTTGAATCCGGACATGCAGGATATAGGCACTTTGACACACAAGCTACAGGACAGTATTCAATTGTTTCTCGTGAAACATTTCTCACGATTATCCATGAGCGTCATAATGACTGCCATGACAGGTTGAGTTATAAAGTGTGAAAAAGATAAACACTTAAAAAAAATAACGTCAAGTTGCATGACCACTTGCTTGTTTCTTTTATTTGTAAAAAGTGCGAATGAGAGATGAACAAGGCCAGTTGCAGCTGTATTACATCATTCATTCAGTTACGAAATTATTGGATATCTATGAAGCGCTATGTGAGTACAACATTCTCAGCACAACATGCAGGAGGCAATGGATTTCCTGGAAATATAGAAAATTTGCTTCCTTATTTCGTTTGTTTCAATTTAAAATAGCTCAATAAATATTTTGCCGTAAGGATGACGCTGTAAAACCAGAACAAATCCCATTTTTCGTTTACAACAGTTCTTTCGAGACTTCTGCATTTCTCGAGCAAAAACTGATGTGACAACTCCTGATAGAGTTTATATCTGGTGTAGTAAATGTTGCAGACATATTTCTTTGTCCCATTTCGCCTTCCTTTACATTTTCCATGATTGAACAACGGTTGAAATCGACCAACCCCGAACTCAGACATAGACCACGTGGTGCACTTTGTGACCTGGTATCCGAAAGCATTTTCCCCACTCGCTTATCTGGAAACTCATTTGTCACGTTCTGACACGCAATCACAGTGCACGACTTTTACTCGATATGCAATGCTCATGGAACTTGCCACCAATATCTCAGATCTACGGCAAGACATAAACCGGGGCAGGGCGCTCAGCTGATTTGATCTGACGTCTGCCAGATATATTAATGCATGAACAATAAGATTACCTTGAAAAAAAGAGAAATATCAGTACGAATCAAATTTGATTCTTGACCGAACGTCCAAGGTAAAATGGCCATGAAATTGAAACTTGGTTTATTTTCCAGACGAGCTTTTGAAGCAGTGTCCTTCACCAGTCTTAGGTTTATGAAAATTATATCAAACAAACAATCTACTGATACTAAAGAGTTACTTAAGTTGTTCAATTTTCAAATATTTTAAGTTTATTTCCAATGGGTTAAGTTTAAGAAGAAAATAAAAACAAGGAGGTTGTATACAGTTTTTCGTCAGCTCATAGCAAAGGTTACAGGTTGCAAAATCTTCCTTCCCGAAAAAGTATCCCGTTCCCGCCAGAGTGACAGTTTACTTTCTAGAAAACGAATGCCGCGCGCGGCTGCGGTTATACAGGACTGAAGACACTAAACACTCGCTTCTAATTTTCCAATCAAAACCACATTACACAACACGGGTATCGCTTTAAATAAAGGTAATATACCCCAGCGGGGCTGGGCTGGCGGTAGGACGGGCGGGCACAACTCGGTTCCCCTGTCTCTAATGGAATAATCAGTCGAGAAGCTGGGCCCCGAAATTGAGTTTGGTCGGCAGCAGGGCCCAGACAAGAGGAGGGGATTTGTTATTACAAGTTGCACTCAATAATGGAAATGGTGCGAGATGAACATTATGACAAATAAAATGCATAGGAAATGTACACAGTGCCCAGGGCTGTCAGGTTTGGCGGTTATGTACATTACAGTGAGCTGGACCATGCACCGATAGATTATAATTGCACGATTGGCCACAAACATTATCTCGCTTGATACATGCAATATCTCCACGTGTTCTTTCACAATGCCAGTTTGCAAGGATTGGTAATGTTTTGCTTTGTCGTACGATTTAAAAGCAATAAACCAACAAATATGAAGCAAGGTGTAGGAATGACTTTTATCCCAGAATCAATCATCAATAGATTTGATACCGATATGTTTTCTAAAAACGAAAGTCAGGTCAACAGCACAACAGATATTAGTTTTGTTTCGACAACTACAAGTCCATAATTTTGGCTGACAATACGACAGAACTAATGACAATGACGATATTCCAAATAATCCAACAAAACACAAAGCTAACAACAGTAATGACACTTGTAAAAAAAAATGTAAAAGGAAAATTTTTTAAATTTATTTTTTTCAACCCTTAAGGTTATACACAATGAGTTTTCAATAGAAATTTTTTTTCACTCGCCTAAGCATTTTGGAAAGGAGCCACGTTTAAAAATTTATGGCGTCTCTGTATTTCCACCAAAAGTTGCACAATTTAAAACCCCCCACTACAAAAAAAAAACACCAACAAAAAAAAGATGAAAGACTGACCTGAGTTTCGGTGAGATTGAGGCTAGCGGCAAGTTGCTTTCTCTCGGCTCCCACCACGTAGTGATTTTTCTCGAAGGCTTGCTCCAGTCGCAGAAGCTGTGATGGAGAAAATGCCGTGCGGATCCGCTTGGGTTTACGAAAGGGATGTTGTAGAAAGAACCCACCATTCGCAATCTCGCCTCCTGAAACGAGAACGTAAAAAGGGAAAGAAAACAAGGAGTCAATGAGGACAAGAACACCTTAAACATAGACACCTGAAAGTAAAGTCTTGTATTTACTGCATTTTATTTTTTTTGAATCGAATGGAACTATCATTCTAAAATCTTGATTGGTGGATGAAGTCTGAAACCGAAAATGGTCCTCATTCCTATACTGTTACATTCAGATCTTTTTCGTTCGGCTTAAAAAAATAGAATTTTCCTAAGATAGAAAATTGTTGTGGAGAATAGAAAATGCACTCTTTCGTTTCCTTCTTCAGGAATACACTCGTTAGTAAAAGCCAATACATATGCCATGAAAAAGTGTGCAGGCATTCACTTAATGAAATCCATTGAATTTAGCAGGTGCATCGCACACACAAGCAAACAGAAAATGGCTTTTTTTTACGACAGGACTGTAACATCTTCGCAAATCTGACTAAGTTGGAGGGCGAATATTGGATTTCCTTCGGGTGCTGTAAAGTGGCGCGGGTAATATTTGGATATTCCCACTTGGTGGGTCTTCACGCAGCACCCACTAGGATTTCTGCTTTCTTTTTTTTTAACTCAAGATCAGTGATCGACCGACAACGAGATATGATATGATGGTTTATGCTCGGTCAGTGCCGACGGAGAGACAGGAGAGGGAAAAAAAGAAATCGGACAAATCTTGGCTGTAAAGGGCCACTTAAGGTGCAATTTACTGGTCGATTGGCGCCCTCAGGTCCTACATGCTTTATTCTTTAATGCGAAAAAAGGCGCTTTTTTCCTTCTCGGGTGGATCTTTGCGGTCGTCTGCAGGTTTAGCAGTGCACGCATGACAGAAGAGAGAAATGGCCGCGCATTCGTGAACCCAAGACCAGCTGGCGAGCTGCGCGAAATCTGATTTTGGCTGGCGAAATCTGACCAGATTTGTGGAGTTTGGTAATGACGGTAGCGATGGGGGATGGGTGATAGGGGTAGTGATGGCCTGACAATTTAGGGCTAAGTACCTCTTGAAGTACAAGAGGAGAGTGGAGAGATATTGATGTATGGATACTTTACAAGGAAACACGATCGGGAAGGACGTAGACAAGAAAAATTGGAAACGTTCCGTCTCTTTGGGCAATTGTCAAGTATCAAATCCGTGAAAATTTGACCACCTTAACTTTGTACATACAAGTTACAACCACTGTGGAAATGTTTGCACATCCCACTGGATAAAATGTTGATATTGAATTTAAAAGTTCCCGGCAAGAAACAGAGATTAAACTTCTGTTTACCATTGAACAAACCTTCATCTGCATTTGACAAGGTCACATCGATTCAAAATGCCATCTATTTTAACCATTTCCCTAGATTCTAATACCTTCAAAACGTCTGATTTGCCCCCTGGCGCAGCACGCTATAAAACCACAACTAGGCGCGCAGCAATAGCGTCCAATCTCGAGCAGCTCGAGCGAAAAACAAGAAAACTTGGATGTATTTATGAAGTTGGGGAAATGAATCCCTGACCGAAGCCTGTTGTTTGTTAGCCTAGGACCTCACTGGTGGTTTGGTTCAATCTTCCAGGTTTACACTCCGTAAAGCGAGACCTTTGGCGGAGTGCAGGCCGAAATCTGTACCACGACAAGCTTCAAAGGACCCCGCGTTATCACCCTCCGGTCAGCCCACACTGGTGATGGCAGAGGCGTGTAATCAGCGCTAAACAAGGACAAACATATCACTTTTGGTTTTAATTGCTTTGGCATTTTATCGAGGTAATTGATGTTAGATAGCGAAGCGGGTGCGGGCTCAAAAACAAAAGTGGAGCGGACATGCCAACGTGACTTATCAGGTTTAATATTTCTAATTAATTGTTGTTGTAGGCAATTCGAGGTTGCTTTATCGTTTTATCTATGTTGTGGCAACGGTGGAACATCATCAAACAAAACAACGTGAAGAAAAATGAAAATTCACACGGGAAACGAATAGCTTACCGCTTTATTTCAGACAAGAACATTTAAACACATGGAAGGATTTTGTTCAAAAGCGACAAGTATATTTAATCGTAAGGACCAACAACCAAAGATAGTCATCTTTGTCTGTCTGTTTGGTGGGCTATGCGCATGTTGTCTCATAGCCCGGTCATTCCAAAGAGCAAAAAATCTCCCCTAGTTCGACGAGATGAATTCGAATTAAATTCATTCAACTCGAATGGTTCAAGATTTCACTCGAGTTTCCACTGCATGTGAGTGGTTCCTTTTCAAACTATTTCAATCTAAATTTATAATGATTTTTCACTTAAAACTGTTCGGTCCCTTAGTTTCGATCCTCGGAGATATGAAATAGCATAAAATGTTCCAGTCTGGCTATTTTCATTAGAAGAACTGTTCTCAAAGGATAAAATGTTTTGAAGTTCTACAAAGGCCCGCTTCTATGGGAAGTGAGCATCCAAGCTTCTGAATGAATGGCAATTGGCATTCTCCACTAGGTTCGAGAAGCCCGCATTTAAGACTATTGTAAGTTACGGCTAAAACACATTTTTGCGAGGCTTACCCATGAGTGCTTTACTGAAAATATCTTACACATCACCGTAGGCTTATTTGTGGTGTTACTGTTTTACTTCTTTATCTATGGTAAAACGTGGTTTATTGTACAATCATGTCAGTTTACTTACCATCTATTTTAAAATTTTATTGGCGTACTTTTTATAAAATTTATAATGCAGGCTTTTGAAAGCTACTTTACGTATAATTTGTTTGATTTCCTATTTTTTGGTTTCAGCAGCGTTGTCTTTTCACCATTCTACAGCCTATCATGATCTACCGTATGGTTTCAGTGATGTAATAGGCTTAAAATAATGGAAACGGTTATTATTATTATTTGAAGATCAGAATTTCAGACCATTCAAACTGTCTACATCAATAACCACAGGCGATTCCTGTCTAAACAGCACTCTGTTTTCTTCCTGCATCTGACGTATCGAGAACAAAACCCACAGCAAACATTGGTTCTATTGGTTCGAAGTGATTCCATGAACTTCATTCTGTCCCCTAAATCCACCCAGCAGTGCTGTTCCAATCATCATTACTCGGCCCGTTTAGTTACATGGTCAGAGCTTTCCTCTAAATGATCGTAACCAAAGTGCATCCAATTCACATCTCGGCACTAACGACTCAATGCACCGTTTACTGAGCTATTAAATTAAGTGGAGGCCAATTAACGACTGTAACGGACGTGCATAATTGTTGCGGCCTTTTCAAACTTTCAACCATGAAAGAACTTCGTAAGGTCCTTGTTTGATCGAATAGATTAATGAGGAGACTGGCAGGTTATTTATCTAACTCTGCAATATATTAAACCACATGTTCCTCTCTATGTTAAAAGCTCTATACTTTGGAAACGAACTGCCAATCAGAAATTTCAAACTGCTTCGATTGGCCGAGCTTGGCTGCTGCTGTGCTGTGTACACTAATCGATGCTTCTACCATCAATAGCTTTAGTGGTCAGTACTGGTTTAAGCAGATCAACAATTTTATCAATGGAGCAAAGCCAAGCTTTGTAACCCCCAAGCCTTCTGTGCGAGTGCAGCGCCCGTTCCGTGCTTCTGTACCGTGTGTATACGCGGCGTGTATGTCAAAAGTTGAAGCCCGAAGGTATGATCACACCGTCAAGCCGCGCGTGGCTTGCAACCGCCCACCGGGGTGGTGATCTGACCGCATGCCAAATTTTGCTCTCTGTAAACAAAATAAAAGCAAGTGTTGCATACTTTTTCAATTCTCGGGGGAAAATATACATACTCCTTCAAGAGTTGATTTCCTATAAAAAGGAGCATGTCCTCTCCACGAATACACGTGCTCAATTTCATCAGCTCACTTTTTATCGCCGAAGCGGTTTCAACACAATGAAAACTCAAATGACATTTGAACAGAAGCTGATATGCAGATTTAAAAAATGGCATTGAAGCAACGCACTTCACTATCCATGAGTGTTCTAAGCGTGTTCTAAGGTCAAAAGTTACAACCCTCGTTTTTGAATTCTCATAGTTCACTGACAGCAATTTCAGAAATGTCAAGCAAGATACTGTGAAGCATTGTGCATACTGTATAAAGCGCTTGCGATAGGCTAAACAGGTCCGCGATAGGCTAAACAGGTCCGACACTTCCTTGAAATTACCTATCTTAGTACTCTTGCTGCTTCGATACCTCAAATGTCAGGATATTTAACAAATCTCATCCGTGATTTTGCAGCGTAGTAGGATCGTTTTCTTCGATATTTTATGTCGTTCAGTTACATACTCGGGTCTGCACCACGGTTTACGGAGTTTAGTAAAAAAAAAAAAACCAAAAAACAAAAACACACACACAGACTGTTTGCATTCACAATGGTATTTGACTGTCACAGAAGGTGCCGTTCACTTGTGTCAAAGTTGACTCGTGTCTTTGACGGAGAAAACAAGTCAAATATTCTTATCTGAAAGAAATATTAACAAGGATTCTTACCAGGGAAGCCTCGGTGGCCAAATAGTCTATTTCTGGCGAGGAACCACGGATAGAGTCCAAACGGCTCACGGCGAGGCGGTGAACCGAAGACACCAGCCAGAGCAGCAGGATGGTGCGGGGACGGGAAGCCGTGTGTCGGCGGCATGCCGAGGTGTTGTGGCACGGTGAATCCCGGGTGAGCTGTCTGAGCCGCCTCCGATGGGTACGCCACCTCGGGAGTGTACAGTCCCTTGATTGGGTGCGGGAACGCGCTGTGGAACGGCGACTCCCCGGTCGGACTGGGCTTGTGGAGCCTACTGACCACGATGGGCGTGAAGGGGGTTGGAGAACCCACTGAGTCCGGGGTGGAGGTGGTTGGAGCTGGTGGATTCGGGGGACTAGACGGCTTGGAAACCAGAGACTCGATGCTGAAGCAGCTCGGCTTGGAAGGTGGAGGTGGCGGTTGATACAAATCAACAGCAGACATGGTGGAAATGTTTTGTCAGTTGACCACCAAAAAGTCACCAAATTTACCTACTCCTTCGTTTTGATTTGTCAGACCAATCAGTTATTTTTCAATTTCAAAGCTGTTTTGGTCAATTTATCGCAAGTGGCGCACACAGCCTAGAGAAAACTGGAGGCAATAAATATAAAATCAGAGCCCCCGTCGTGGCGACATTGCATAACAGACCAATCTCCAGAACAGTAACCACTTGATCTTCCCTTAGAAGAACGACAAGATATGCAGTCTGCTAGATGCGTGTACATCAGCTGGAATATTAGCGGGAGACTGGCCAAATCCTAGCGAATAAGCCAGCTTCAAAAAAATCGCGAGACTATAGGCAGCGATTAGCCGAATCATCAGTGTGCGTATGATGGCGGCCTTCCTCTTGTCTGAAATGTCTCCTCTTACCTGTCAACACTGGACCATTTGTATCGCACCGTTGAAACGAAAAACCCCTCACTTTAGGAGGTTCTACTCAACATACACCAGGCCCACCACACAGTGCACTGTCGGAGCTTACTAGCCCACCAAGCGAGCCGCATGGCACTACCGACCAGTCCTAAAAATCTGCTAATCGTTCCATTTGCATAGTTACGACTAATTAGGCCATGACAGAGTAGGCTTAACTGACACGACTTGCGAGTGAGTAATGCTGATTGGCTGGCGAGTCACGGTGTGGCAATGACGTCGCACTCACCCAGCCCATAGTGTTCGCATACCGTGCAGGACCACCGCATACGATACTGAATCGATGTACGCGCGATTCTTCCTGCACTCTGCAGTCTGGAGAGAGTATGATGAAGCCATGGGGCATAGCGCCACCACGATCATTGGCGAGCTGCCGAAGGACATCTTCCAGCCAATTCGGTTGGAATTGCTCGAGTTACACCACTCCCTAAAAATCCACTCGACTTCAAGTCCTTCGATAACATTAATTATTCTCGAACTACGCACTAATCTTTTGGACTACAACGTCTAATGCTCAGTGCCCGTCTTCGTCACTGATTGCGAGCAAACTACTGGGGCTTCATTTTTAAAGAAAACTGCTCCTTTAAGTCTAAACCCGAGGACAATTGCGTACTTAATCCTTTTTCCACTGACATCTTTGAGTTTTAGTAATAAGGAACGTTGAGGATGGTGAGTGTAACGCTAATAAGACTGGTGATGTGACGACACCGACGATGACACGTTGACACCAGGAGAAGGGTGGTGACAGCCAAAATACACAAACGCTTTTTGGTCATTATCATGACACTGTTGTCACTGCCGTTGCCGGATGCATCTTTGTTGTCGCGGCAAAAAAATGACAACAGTAAATAAGAAAGAAACGACGACTGTATATGTCAATGCGGTAAGGCAATGCGGTAAGGCAATATATAGTCATGTTTTTTCTAAATCAATTGGCTTTTGTTGGAATTACTGATCCCAGTGATATCAATCTTGTAGAGAACAACAAAATTCATTTCTGAGTCTAAAGAAGGAAAAGACTCACCAACAAGAACCTCCCGCGTGAAACATAAACAAGTGACCCAAGAAGTGATACGGCTCACAAATCATGAAAGACTGATGGTCCTCTGACCTTTGACAAAATTTGGGGGGAGGGGGTCATATACGCGCTTTGAAATTCCAAAGGTTCATAAATGTCCCACTTACCAGAAGCTTGATTGATAAATTAAACCCATAAATGGTTTCAGACTTGATCAGAAATGATTGAACGGGATTGCAGATGTAATGTTTACAAGAACCGCGCTTTCATTTGTCTACAAATTTGGACGGGGCCGTTTGATGTGCTCGCAAAACTGTCAATGCGAAACAAACACCACCCGGCGACCAGATGCGGCAAATCATGTTACCGTGACAACGCATCTGTGCTAGAACAAAGAAACGTTAGCGGTTTTTCGTTAAACATCCAGCGCGGTGTTGTATACATGATGGACTCTAATTTTCCTGATTGGGCTACCGTGACAGAGTGTTTAACGGCCGGTGTTTTCTTAATGGGTGACCGTCGAGTTTCGAGCCTCGGGTTGGAGTGGAGTTTGGGTCAGACGAGGATGATAATGTGAGATACTTTTTGCAAAAAGTCTCCTTTTGTTCACTTAGAGGTGGGAAGAAAGCACCAGATACATGTAAATATTCCCAGCAAACCCATGAATTCCTTGATTTCAGGAAACCCATGAAATAAGATACAGGGACTGAAAATAAAATAAAAATGTCCACGTGTGGGATTCAAAGCCGGTTATTCAAGGAGATGAAAGGCAGGCAACGTAATATTACGCCAACCTGACTTGGAATTTCCAACATGGCATCAATTGGCTGATGTTATAAAACACTGGCACAGAGTGGGGACAAATCAGGCTCGACTCTTCCTAGTTCAGGCCTTCCGTTAACTCAAGAGCTCACTTGTTGGGCTTTTTGTCACAATGCTGTTCAAACCTTCATCATATGGAAGTCACTTTAGGCCCCTTAATGAGGGTATCGACACCTTCATCCACACAACAGCACCGCTCACTCGTGAAACGGGGAGATTTCATGAAAGACAAGACCTCGCGAAATTTGACGGTTTGTTGACCGTTATCCTTCCTATCTTGGAGCAGATGAGTAGAGCTCAGCGTATATGTTGGTCGACACAAGGGGATTCGGAGAAAACATCAGTCCAGTTTATAAAGGTCAGATTTGAAATGTGGTCTTAGACTGAGAGAGATACCGAAACACTGAGAGTAAGATTACAAAAAAGAACCTGTTTCGCAGTGGGTTTGCTTCTTGTTTGGCTAGTTGTGTTTGTTTGTATGCATTTGACTTCTTTAAATTATAACTACAAACGCACGATGGAACCTGCTCTGTTGGGTATGTTGGTCGCATCCTGCCCGGAGAAAATCTCATTTTCGCGCTACACTGACAAACGGACACTGACTCAAGAGGACACAACAATTACAGCCGACAAACTCGCCAAAAGACCGACCGGTAAGTCGAGGACAATTTGGGTATAATTAGCCAGCTTATCCCTATCTACAGGTCATTGATCACATGACGGAACGTGCCAGGCTAGCCACGGCGGATTTCAGTCTTGCTTGGTGTCTTGATATCCTCCCGTTCTCGAATCAATCTCTTCTGGGTGAATGGTCAGTCGACCATAGTGGTCATTATATCAAGCTTGTGCTGACTTTGTTCGACTGAGGGTCAGTGGACACTGGACAGAGAGACATGGACTACAGTGACCTCTTTCATTGTGTCCGGAGCGGAAGTCGATTTCTTGCCAGCTTAACGCGGCTATCAATATAGGAGGAATTGGGCTTGACCGCCGCCCGATTCGTTTCCAGCTAAGGCGTACAAATCGAAATCGGTACGACCGGACACAGACGGCAAACGCAGTTGAAAAAGACCGAACGTTGTCTACAATTATCTAGTTCTCCCTGCGATACATGCTTCCATTTCCTTCTTGTCCGTAGGGTGAGATCCATCGCTCCATGTTGTCCATCGTACATAAATTCAACCTCGCCACTAAAACGATGGTCGAAACGTGTCAGTTTAGAAAACTCATGGAAACGAACTTTGTAACTTGTAGCACTTTGAACAAATTTCAAACAGAGACAAAGGTTCCACGTTTTCAAATTACTGATACACTGGAGCAAAAGCTCTCGGCTAAAAATTGATGCGGAAAACAATTTGAAGAGAGAGAAAAAAAGATGATGTCCACGAAAACGGTCGAAAAGTTTGGGGAACAATGCGAACCGTCCATTCTAAATGAATGCTCTGGTGTCTGGAGTGGTTTTTTTTAGTAGAAAAAGTGCAAAGTAAAAGCTACCTCATTTTGAGTTCAAGGTGTTAGCGAATGGGCCCATCCGAGCGTCGTATTGTGCCACCCTAGGACAAACAATTAAAGGAAAGGGTGAAGCCATTTAATGTAATTGTTTCGTAATAGTAATGCAAATTGGAATTGATTTGCAGGAAGTATGAAGCGCTGGAGGCTGAAACTCGCCCAAGGCGGTTCAAAAACGCGAGGAAAACAGTCAAGCAAATTTCGTTACATTGAGTAACTTGTGGGGCGCCGCAGGAGTCAATTTTTTCGGCCTGGGTTGAGAGCGGACCCCGTCATTTCAAGCGCGCGCGCCGTGAATCGCTCTCTGGGTCTCATACCTCGCTCGTTTTTTACACGGGGAGACCTAATTCGCCCAGTGCAACCACTCGTAGGAAATGACAGGGCCTGTTTGAGGCTTGTTACCCAATTTGATCAGATCCAAGACTAGAGCCTTGGTTTGACCAACTCCATGGGTGATACAGGCTGGAAGATTTCATTTGTGGCAATCTTCATTGTGTTCAGTAGGCCTTTAAAGAAACCTAATCGATTTCATCTGTTCACTGGGAATAGATGTGGCTAGCTGCTCTCCAACTGTATAAGCACAAGGGGTCGTAGTTGACGTTGAAAAATCTTTGGAGTTCTCTCGCCAATTGTCATAAAGTAATTAACAATGAAACACAGCCAAGTACACCTGCATGATGTACATTTATGCCAGAAGTCCCCATGAAATATTAATTTGAAGGAGAAAAATGACAAATTAATCATCAAATTGATAATAATTTTGTCAATCTGAAGCTACCAACTGTCGGAGGTGGCAAACTCCCTCCTCATACAAATTACATATTTTAATAAGTGTTACACTTTCAAGAAATAATCAAATCGTAATTCCAACTATCGTTGTCATGTTGCATTTCGGCATATATGATTTCATTTCACTTCTTAGTGAAAAATTCTTTCCCTATCCAAATAGTGTAAAAACCTAAAGACGTAGACAATGACAGAATTACCGTAAGTATATTGGAAACTCTAATTGATTATTGGATATGATGCTGTATTATTGCAATGCGATAAAAGAAATTCAACAGACCAAGCCGACGCCATACCTTCCTTGTTTCTGACAACAAACAAAACAATTCGCCCTTCAGGACGGAATAAATTACTGTACAAACTACTAAACACACAACAGTTTACGTAAGATGTGCGATTAGTGTAAGGTGTTTGAGGTTAAAGCATTGTACTTATATCGCTGCGGTCTGTCTACAGACAAAAACACCCCAGTCAGCAGCTAGTGCATTCTGTTTGTTCATTTGACCGAACAGAAAACTTGACAACATCCTGGTTTTTACAACCCTGCAAGAAACAATCACTTCTACCGTCGTGTGCACGCAGACAATGAGTGTTTTGCAACTGATGATAAAAACTCGGTTTCTGGCGGGGAGAATTGTGCAGATGAGGACAGGGAGGTATAGGCGCTATCCCTGAGGTCAAGGTTAATCGATCGACAGCCACGCATGACTCCTAGGATTTCTCTCTCAACTTCTCATCAATTCTCGAAGCTGGAAAAACAAGCCATGAACGTGTGAATAGTCAAGTACGGTCTACTAATACGCTGTCCAGTGAGCAATCAAGCCAAACGCCGACTGTAATTTAACGTGATTACAAAGACAATCTCCTCATCGACTTCCTGGATTCGCCAGCAAATTTATTGCTTTGTAAATGTTAAACCTAAAAATCCTTCAAATAAAATTGTCCATGTCGTGTTAAACATCTTTCCCCAAATTATTTTGTCATGGAGTACTTTATTACACAAATTATGATATGAATATTATAAGCGTTTTATAAGCCGATAACGAATGCCATATGACGGCCATTTTGTCATGGTCCCTAACACACTGTACTCATCGCAAGGCAAGATGTGCATGACGTCAATGACACCAGACTATACATCCTCATTCTTTGG